AACAAAAATAATCGTTATTTTCTTTCATTGTAAAATTACATGTTATTTGGCCCGCGGACAGCAAGTGTTAATCTAGGCAGGCCTCAAGGTCTGGATCCGCCTGTTAGCCACTCAACACGTACGGCCTACGGATATGATGGAAACTCTATCACTCTTGGCAACAGAAGTTGTTTGTTGCACTTATGGTCACTGAATAGTGTTTAAAATCTATTGAGAATTCAAAATTGAATCAGGTACAAAAACAAACTCGTTCCCAGAGTCTTTCTTCCTCCTCACTCGTTCAAATGGCTACTCGGTGACAAAATTTCAAATTTAATTTGTCATACTGACAAGACGAATAACTTGGTGAGTTTAACAGGAATGTTTTATTTGGGGGCTAATCTACTTCAGGTTGGGGGCTAACCGGCTAGGGGCTAATCAACTTGGGGTCTAAACGACCGGTAACTCTACTGTTACGTTAGTGGCCCAGTATTGCTATCTTCCATTTGTGGGGTTCAAGGAGTCTTAAATTTTCAGTACTTCCTAGTAAACCGTTTACGTGGTTATATCAATTATAACATTGGATCTCCTGAAAAAAATGTCAAAATGTTTTTGCTGCCTCATCTTTTAGCAATTCGACATCATTCCAATACCTGATTTTACAGTTCAGTTACAAAAAATCGCTTGCAAGCAGGTCTTAATTTCCTACCAAAGCAAACATGAACAACAGAAATATTAACAAAATTTTATTACATGTAAGACAACTGTTAACAAATTATGTATTCAGTTATATACTTCTAAAATATCAAGAGCTCTATACTAAAGACTTCAATTTTAGAAACAATAGCTTAGATATTCATTGTTAGATGCAATTGTAATTGGTACCATTAGTACTTTAATCTTACTGGATCATGCAGGGATATACACATTCTCAACCCAAAAAACTGTCATCTTTTTGGCCAGCAACTACAAACATCGCCTCTGACCAGGCTGAAATTTCCCTTAATTCTGATTTGCTGAAAAAAAGCTACAAAATTAAGCTCCTACATGTACTTGTAGTGTTGGCCAAAACGACCACAGCCTCTGGGAATAATATGGGGTATATATAAACAATAGCCTCCATTTGACGCAAAAATATGCTCGGATATTCGTCCGCGGACATTATCTGTTCGGAGAAGCCAGCAGTTTTCCGAAAGGGTAGCATTCGTTAGTAGCTTGGGGGAATAAATTAGGAAATATCCTCGGATATTCCCCAGTTTTAGTTTTAGGAATATTCGGTCACGTGAAGTGTTTAGACCAATTGCACGCGAGCGAAATTATTTGATGGATTATAATTCTTAACCATCAGATTATTAGCTAAGACTTCCATGAGGTGATAAATTTTATGGGGCTGTTGTTGCAAGGCCACATCAACGATCTCCTCTTACTATAAATCTACTAGCGTCAATCTACTGGCGTAAATCTCGAACGCCAACTCTGATTAGCTACACTACTCACCATCTATTCTGTTGTAGTTAGTGAGTAGCCTAGCAGTATGCGGTTGTTAACAAACTGGAGGCTGCATCTTTGCATTTTCAACATGTCTGTGAAGGTGATTTGGATAAAGTTTTGAACAACTAGCAAATTTATACTTAAACAGTTAATGAATTTTTCGCTCTCAATTTCAATGCGTGATAGTGAACTCGAGGCTACATGCTCATGAACTACCACGCAATAGAAATCTCGCGCTTATAATCTAATTATTTATTATTGTAGGAATCGAGAGAGAATGATCTATTTGTGATTGTTTCAATAGAATTCTCACTAAATTCCCTTCAAATATTTTATAAAAAAGTATGAAACAATTATCAAACATATAGGACTCTGGGAATACAAAGTATTCCTGAAACTTAATTATAAGGGATCGGTGTGATGATGATGACGATGATGATGATATAATAATCAATAGACATAATTTTAGTGGGCTATTATTTATAATAATAATAGCAACAACAACGATGATGATGATGATGATGATGATGATGATGATGATATGAAACACTTCTATAGTGAACAACATCCACTAACTTTACAAAAGTATGTAAAGTTAAAAAATCTTACAAAAAAGATTATATAGAACAACAATCTTGATAGTAAACCCAGGGAATAACAGGCTTTTAATAGTTACCTAGTTCAGAGGACCAGTAACTAAAATAGACCAATCAGATTTCTCTAGGACAGGGCACTGTCCCAAATTTCTTGCAAGTTAAGGCTGACTTCTCCAAAAGAACTAACTTTTTCCTTTTTCTTCTCACTTCCTCCTTTTTTGGCCAGTGCTTCTGAATTTTGATTGAACCAATCAGCATTCAGCAGGCAGGAAAACTGTACTATCCTGACATCACACATTTGAGTGGCCACTTTTTCTCTGAAAACTTCATTAAATGTTCACAACAAGCAATTTATGACAGCAGAAACCTTTACAGATTTTAACAAATAAAAAAGATGTAACATTTTGCAGCGCTTAGCTATAATTTTGGTGCCAAAACTGGGTTACCCTCATCCAGCAATTTGCTCTTGAAGTGAGTGAGGTAGGATATTAGCCATGTTATTCGAAACAAAACATCTCGTTCCTCAACAGATAAGACGCAGAGTTCTCAAGTTACCGACAAGTATTCAAAAAGGCCAAAACGACTTCAGCAGTCTTTATTTTTGTTAGGTACAAAGAAAAAGACTTCTATTGTGTCTTTTCATAAGGACAGTGCGGTTTTGACTGCTGCTCGTACATGGGTGTTTGCTGAAGGCTTTTCCTTCTTAAGAAAAAAGCCAGACATTAGTAAGCAGTACATTGGCTCTCAGAACCAGAGTTACTCACTTGAAGTTTACTATGACTCTCTCTAATCTGTGACTGTGGGATATTTTCTAAGCATTTTCAGTTTGTGTAATAAATCTGTCATTTACCAACCTTGCTCAGGACCGTATAGGGAGAATATTGCCCCTTGATCTTTAATGTAAGGACCGAGCATGTTAAGGTTGGTCCTTACTGTCACAACCTTGGGCCAATATACTTATAAATAGCCCTCACACTTGGTTAATAAATATAATATTATATATTTGTTGAAGCCTGAGATGTTTTGTTATGCATGTATCAAAGAGAATAGTTCAGACATGACATTTATTTTAAATACCACGACTGGAGCATTAACTAACAAAGAGCATCGGGATCCTTAGGCTCAAAGTTTAATTCTAGGAAAGTGCAAGAAACTTGACTTTTATAGTAGCCAGTCCACATCATTGAATTTGGAGGGGTGTACAGTTTGTTTTTATTTTTTGTATTTTTACTCCTCAACTCCTACGTATTCAAGTACATAAAACTTATCTATGCCCTTAACAACCTAAATAATGGCAGGCTTATCAACAACAAGGGATAGATGGGTTTCACGTATCACGTTCAGGTCACCATCAATCTCAACGTTTGAACTTGATGAGATCACAGGAAACAGTTGTTCCCCTGTAACCCCTGTAAACAACTCAGCTTGTTTGCTGCGGACATTGTTGATAATGAGTATCTTGGTTTCGAAGTTTAGAAAAACTGTGAACACATCATTGTCTTGCACAGAAGTGATAAAGGGCTTCTGACGATCTGATCGCCAAGATTTAGATTTTGCAAAATTCCAATCATGATACCAACACCATTTTCGGCTTTTTGATTTCCCGTGGCCAACACGATCATAAACTGGTCTACTGCTGCAGCCAATTTCTAGCTGAATTTGTTCCTGCGAACTGAGAGAAAGAAGCTGAAGTTTCCAGGAATGTTTCCCCCCGCTGAGAACAAACTTTTGCTTGCCTGCAGTTGCCCTTAATATTGCACTGACTGACATCAACCCTGTTCCTTGATTTTTGCACTCTTGACCTGGATTACAGTTGACTTCCCAATTAAAGGGACTTCCATGTACAGTTTGACCATCAACTGCCACTGACAAACTGGCAAGTCCTACCCCTTTTGGACAATAAGAAAAGTTATATGATCCATCATGGTTGTCTTGTACCGCAAGTATTTCCTTCTCCTCCTGAACAGCTTCACTGTTAAAAACAACTTGAGCCTGGACTGCATGGCCACCTGCTGTTACTCTGCTCCCCTTTTCATCTTTGATAATAAGCACAAAATCCACTGACTGTCCAGCTAAGGTCTGGTACATAACTCCTTCTTCTCCACCTACCACACTAATGGTGCATTTTTGTGGGTCAAAGGGAATGCAACATAAGGACGCCATTTTCCCAATGTCCCAAATTGCTTGATGCACTAGTAACTTGACATAATCATCCTTGCAGGGTTTCAGTTGGTTCTGTGATGAATTAAGTTGGGAAAGTCGCTGGATAAGTTGTTTCTTCAAAGACAAGAGCTTAACATCATCTCCGTCTGCTATGGCACGGTCAGCAAACTCAATACTGCTTTTCAACTGTGCCAAAAGTAAGGAGAGCATCTCTGCTTGGCTTTCAAGTTGTTTGACTTTTTGTTCACCTCGCATTGTTGTTTCATGCTTTAGATTTGCACGGTGATACTCCAGTGCCTTAACTTGCTCATCAAAAAAGCAATCCACCTGTTTGTTAACTTCGGTGACTTTCTTCTGGACACAGCTTTTCATTGTCTGCACAGCTCTTAAGCCTTCTGCTACTGCACGTTGCTTGACTTTGGTTTGTTGAAGAACAGCTTGCACAGCATTTCTTTCCTTAACAGCAACATCTGCTATAAAATGATACTTATGTTCACGATGATCAACAATGGTACAATCTCGACAGATTGTTTTCTGGCAAGTTTGGCAAAACAGTTTCAGTGTCTCACCATTATGTTTTTCACAAAAAGCTGGCTTGGAGAGGGCCTGAGAACCAACTGCTTTCACCTCCTCAAGGGATAAAATCTCGTGACCCTTGAAAGTATTGATCCTTTTATGTGCAGTTACACAAAACTCACACATGAAAACACTACAACTGGTGCAACGTGACACACCTGAGTCACCACTGTCACACAGTTCACAGATCAACGACTTGCCTGTGGAAGTGCTGTCTTGCATTCTTAGCAAGGTCATAGAATTGCTCACCCAGAAGTTTGGTTGCAGCTTGCCTACATCTCCATCTACAATCTAATAATTGACAAACAAAATTAATGCAGAGTCCTGATTAACTGTGTAAACAAAAACAAGTTGTTGGGAGAGAAAAGCAAACTGGTGGGGAGCCAGGGGAGCAAGAAAGTGAGCCTGTTCTGATCTCTGTAAATTTTTCAGTTGATCAACTTCAGAAACCACAGCAATCTAGCAAGAAGTAAATTAAATTTCAATGG